TTAGTATAGCAGAATTTTATAAACGAACCAAACTATATTTGACTACGTGAACGAGTATAAAAATAATGCAAATTGCTGTGTGTATGCTTTATAATCCTAGACAACAAAAAATTGTTATTCGTTGATTTTCAAGTTTCTAAAATATTAAAAAATATAAAATAAAAAACATATCATTGGCTAATTTTTAATTAAAAATTTTCAATTGAGAAATTTGTAAAATTTTATAAATTATTATTCCCTTTGAATACAGCAGTGCACAGAATCATACATATATTATATGTTATTTATTTATTATGTATTTTGTACATATAAATAAACGAAAAAACAATGTAAATTGATATATATAAATGGAAATATCAATGAAATGGTGAAGCTTTAAATGAATTTTGATATGAAAAACAAAAGGAAAAATATAATTGATATAGTACTAGCGTATACATGCATCCATTATATATACACAAATATAGATATATGCTACATAAATACTCGAAACATATATATATAAAGAAGTAAAACTGAACGAATCTAAGAATCGAATCAATATCTGAAGCGAAACTTAGAAAATAGCGTTAGATTCTCATTAGGCTATGTAAATATACTTAGACAGATAATAAATTAAAATTGGAACAATATATAACCACAGATAGGTGTGAGTGAGTTCCTAAACATGTATTGTGCTTGCATATATTAAAATTTGTTATAGATACATTTAATTATTATATTTAACAAAGCATCATTCCTATATATATTAATATATATATCTACATAAATAAATAATACCTAAGAAATATCAAAGATAATGCTAATCATATGTATGCATATATATATTAACACACATAGTACCTACTTCAACTAACTAGACAGAAGCATTAGCAATACTCAGTTGTTGAATATCATCAATGAGAAAATGTGTACTGTTTAAAAATATATTTATTTATTTATACCAAAAATATATCATTTATTCTTTGTTTTCTTTTGATTTTTTATATTTATTATAAATGCTTGTAAGGGTAGTTTGAAACGTTTGCATAGCTAAAAATTTACAAACATACAAAATATTTTTGTCGACATTTAATTTAAATTGATTGTAAAAGTTTGTACACTATGAAGGCAGTTGAATAGTTTTTTCGATTTAGCAAAAAAAAAATTGATTTAAATATATCGTTTTTTCTCAAGTGACTCATTGAAGGGTAATTACTTCTTGCATACACAAATGCCATGTTAGACCAAATATTCATTTGAATAAACAAATTGAAAAAAATAACATTGCTGTCGGCTGTAATCGACTGCATAATGCTCGTTCAACTCACAAAAACCGCAGAAGGAAGGAGAATCAAGAACAAGAAAGTCATGCTCACAATGAAAAGATGGACACAGAGACACTGCTGGAAGCCATTTTCGTTTCGTGAACGAGCAAAGGGAATACTTTTAGTAGTAGAAATTGATTAAAGGATCAACTAATACTGTCTCAAGGCCACACGAAATATACATAGTAATTATAAATATATAAATCCATATATATATCAAATTTTTGGTTTCGTCTATAATGCAAGCAACTATATATTTATATATATAGATATACATAAAAATCCATTTAATTTTTTTTGCAAACAAAACATTTTTCGAATGCGAATCCTAAAGCCCACAAAGCTTTCAAATGGGATGCAAATGCCACACAGTAGCCAGTTAACATTAATTATAAATGAAGAGAAGTATAAACAAATTACTATTAGAAGAAGCAAAAGCTAACAAATATATATACTCTATATATGGATAAGCTAAATAACTATGTACTATAGAACAGCAGACTTAAAATGTATTTATTTACAGCAAAAACTAGAAAACACGAAATATAAATATAAATAAAACATAGTTGTACATACATAAATACATACGAATATTAAATCTTAGCAAATCAGTTATATCCAAAAATATAAATTAAACATAAAATATTCAAAGAGAAAGTACTACAGAAATAAAATCAACTATTGCATATAAAAAACAAACTAAAAATTAAGGCAACCATATAATACCTGTTCCAATTTGTATAGCTATATTAATAAATATCATCTTGTCTATAGTTTTTAATAGTAGCTAATTCATATATGTGCCATTATGCAGCTTCAAGTGCTAAAACTCGCTTTTTATGATTTATAAACTCTTAATTTGACACTTCAAGATTGTGCCAAGGCTTTCGAAAATATACATATAAAATATAGTAGAGTATTTAGCATATAACTAAAGATCATAACCATCTATGTAAACCAATGCCTATAATCAGTGTTTAAAACAAACCACATATAATAAATACAATCTATGTATATAGATGTTATTAAACAGTCCATTTTGTTTTATTTCCGTAATGAGACTTGGGATTTGGTAAAGCCAAATTGACATGTAAATAAATTTACAATACTCTATTTGATTAGATTTATGTTTATCTTAGGCTGTTTTTGCATCTCAGCAATCAACTATATATCTTTATTATATCTAGTCTTAAGTTTACAATGTCTTCATATAATTTAAATTACTTTCTTTGATTATCATCTTTAATCAAGCCATAGCTATTGGATAACTCTAGCTTAACATAAGGTCCATAGACACTTATAAAGGTGAGTATGCGATTTTTACTCTGTTTGCCAAACTGGGCCAAAATCTCGCCGGTTCGGCATGGATGCAACGTCATAAAGGGACGAAACAGCACCGGATGCTCCATTGGCGTTAGCATTTGATAAAGATCGCTACGAGGCGCATCTGGCATAAATAGATTCCAAGTGGCCTCTATATCCAAGAGGCCACCATCTGGTCAAAACATTTCTTAATAATAATTGATACATAAATGGAGGAGAGATTCAATTTACCTGATCGATGAGCTTGTAAATAGAGCATGGGCACTTGATAAGAGATGCTGTACACAATATGGTACTCTACATTTATTAGTTCATCCTCACATTTGACTTTTTGATTGTATTTTAGAAAAGTATTGGGCTCTTGATTGTCCTATAAGATATAGAATGATACATATAAATAAAATCGATCGTATCAAGTGGATATTTACTCACCTTTTCAATAAGCTGCCAGCTATCATTTAATTCTAAAGACATAGCCAAAAATTCTTTGGCCTGACTAAGGAACTCCGACCAAGTCATTGAATCGCCCATCTAAAATAAATATAAGTAGGATTTAACAAAATATATATATGTACAAATGGTTACTTAACTAAATATAAATAAACACACTGGTTTTTTCGTTACATTATAAGCGCGTTGCCTCATATACATATATATTATACATAATCGAAACGGTTTACATTTTTAAAGCTCCTCAACTTGAATACTTAAGCTAAAACACACACAAAGATAATTAACTTTTTGTTTTACTACGCAAGCGAATCAGTTTTCAAAACCTTTGCAAATATTATATTTTGGAATATTTATTTTAAATGCACGGCCCCATCAGGAATTGTTCGCCTCTCCACCGTCCAAGGCTGCGACTTGAATATTCTCATTGCGTCGCACTTGAACCACAGTCACAATTCCAGCTTTATCATCAAATTTGCAAGTGACAGTAACTTCGCTTAGTTGAAACGTAAATATTTGGGAGCCATATTTTGTGCGTAAATATACGGAACGTGGATCCGCTTCCAAGATGTCCACAATGCATTGCTTTTGCACTTGCAGTTCCAGTAGTTGGGCCTCTGCGTGCTCATTGAAGCAAACCGTCAAACGATGGTTGGCCACTACCCAATTGGGCACACGCACGGCACTAGGCAATGGTGGTTGACCAGTCATGACATCGGGATTTATATTATTGGCCGTATAGCCACTCGCTCCGTACAGTTCCAAGTCGGATTCCTCGCCATCTGGTTCTTGACGGGACCCATAGAAGTCGGCATTGTTTTCATTGGGCATTGCAGCAGTTCGACCTTATGGTTGTATACAGCAGAAAATCAATAGAAGGTACAAATCTAAAGATTATGTTGCCCAACACACCTGAGTCAACACTTAGCACAGGTGCATCATAGTAGGGTATATACGGCTTAATATCCAGCACAGGCGTGCCATCCACCATATCAGTGCCAAAGAAGCTTATGCTATCACCCTCAATCCTCTCGATCTCCACCAGCGACAACCCAATGGGACAAGGCCGATGCGGCGAACGTGTGGAGAAAACGCCAACGCGCTCTCCGCCTAAGCGAGGAGGTGCCACCTTTGCCTTGGGATGTGAATTGTTTCGATGAAAATGGTAGATAATCCACATATGCGAGAAATCGGCTAAACCCTCAAGCGAATGCTCCGGATTAGTAAAAGTGCCATCACTAAGTTGTATGAAGCTACGTAGGCGATTGCCCACGCTCGATTGCCGGGGCACAGCACGTTTCTCTGGGAAGTCGGTGCGTATTATACCAATGGACTTGAAGTGGACGACGTCTTCGTTATCGTTGCTGCTATTCTGCTGTTTGTCATTGGCATTAATATCATTGCATTAGTGGCCCCACTCACCAGCAACGCACCTGCACGTTGTCCTTGGCCTTGGCGCAGCCTTCGCAACGAAAATCCTGCAGCAGCCGGTTTATTGTCTCAATGTCCTTGCGCTGCACATGCTGCAAATTGCGCACCTGCTGTCTGTACAACGGGGTACATAAATAACATTGAACTTGAACTTCAGCAAGATGGAATGGATGGAATTTTTTTTTATTATACCTCAAGTTGTTTATCTCGTTGCGCGCAATGGTCAATTGATTTTTCAAGTCATCCTCGTGCATGTTCGTAATCCGTAACAGCCGGCACGTGTTAACATGTACTTAATTTAGCACTTTTAATATACACCTAACATTATTTTACTCCTTATTTTATATTGTGCTATATTTACCTTATTCTACTTCGCTTGCCATTCGCAGACGCAATTCATTCCGATAGTCATCCGATTATTGACATTCGCACAAAATACGTGGCGTGCTATCGCGCAATAATTCGATATGTTTATCCATCCCTAGTCAACAATGACTTTATAAATTTCTGCCGTAAGCAAAACGAAACCCAAGCACACTAAAAACTTGTTGGTTTGAAATTTAAATAAAGTAAAGGTAAGTACGAAAGGCGAAACGCCCTAATAAAATTTTGTTAACTAAGCCAACTTATTTGCTGACTTAGGCAAATTAAAAATATACGAAAATGTCTCGAGGAAGTTCAGCCGGTTTCGACAGACACATTACAATCTTTTCGCCAGAGGGACGCCTCTATCAAGTGGGTAAGTATTCGAGAAATTATACGAATTTATAAAATAATTAACCAATCGCTGGCTCTAGAATATGCATTTAAGGCCATTACCCAGGAGAACATCACTTCGGTGGCTTTAAAGAGCGGCGACTGTGCCGTTGTGGCCACCCAGAAAAAGGTGACGGAGAAGAATATTGTGCCAGAGACTGTGACCCATTTGTTTGGCATTACCAAGGAAATTGGCTGCGTTATGACTGGACGCATTGGTAAGCACAAGCCACACATCAACATAAACACCTTATTGAATTTGCATATTCCATATTAAATATTTCCAGCGGATTCCCGGTCTCAGGTGCAAAAGGCACGCTATGAAGCTGCCAATTTCCGCTACAAGTACGGCTACGAGATGCCTGTGGATGTGCTCTGCCGTCGTATTGCGGACATCAATCAGGTGTACACCCAGAATGCTGAGATGCGCCCGTTGGGCTGTAGCATGGTCCTAATCTCGTACGATGATGAGTTGGGCCCATGCGTCTACAAAACGGATCCGGCTGGCTATTATTGCGGTTTCCGTGCCTGTTCAGTAGGCGCGAAAATGATTGAGGCCAATAGCTATCTGGAAAAGAAGTACAAAAACAATCTATCCGAGGAGAAGACCATACAATTGGCCATCACTTGTCTGTCCAGTGTCCTAGCGGTTGACTTTAAGCCAAATGGCATTGAGATCGGCGTTGTGAGCAAGTCAAATCCGCAGTTTCGTATACTCGATGAGAAGGAGATCGAGGATCATTTAACCAAAATTGCTGAAAAGGATTAGGCGCCTAGCGTATGACCCCCATGTAGATGTTAAATCAACTTTTTATAAACATTAAAAATGGAATTGCGGAAAGATTGGAAACAAAACAAACAAATTATTTTTTTGTTTTACTTACTCATTTAGCTGCTTAACAATCAGCGAGTTAACAACATAGATATAGATATGCCATAAAATAGTTGAACAGAATATAGCTAAGCATAGCAACCTTCATATAGAGATTCTGGATTTCCTTAACCCTCCTTTTTCTTGTGCACCTTTCCGCCATAGCGCATAACATAGGCATTGACATCGAACTTGCGCTTGCAGCCTTGATAGTTCATATAGCGAATCTTACCGAATATCGCGCGTTCCTTCCAGCCTTGGTCGTGAATGCCACCGATGGACCACATGCAACCAACGTAGCCATTCGGATCGCGCCCATCCAGACTGTACTTATCGTTCAATAGTATGCTATACTCTAGCGCCTGCTCCGGCGTTTCGGTCCATTCTAAAATCTTTTTGGCCCAATACATGCGCAAGAAACCGTGCATTTTGCCCTCCTTCACCAGCTGTAGCTGGGCCGAGTTCCACAAGTCGTCGTAGGTGCGCGAGTGCTCCAGTTCTTCCAGACTATAGCAAGGGCTGCGCTTATCCTTGCGATGCGCTTGAAGAGATTCGTATGCCCAGCTATATAAACCCTTCAGACTATCGTAATGCTCGTTGTAGTAGCAGAAGTTGTCAGCCAACTCCCGACGCACGATCGCCTCCTCGCAGTAGGCTTCCACCGATTCTTTATAGATGGTCTTATAACGGCCCACTTCCAGGACACAACGTTGCGCGGATATTTGACCAAAGTGCAGCCAGGGCGACAGACCAGACAGAGCATCCGCCATGGGATCATTGCGTTTGTTATTGAAGTGTCGCAGGCGGAGTGTACAGAAGTCGTAGAGCTGTCTGCAGGCAGATGTGTAGCCCGGCTTGGCCCACTCCACAGCATCCACAGACTTGTCGCAGCTAAGCATCTCGTATGCTGCAGTCCAGTCCACACTTCGACTCCCATTGGCATTGCCATACGCATGTTTTATCAGCGGTGGAAACTCTGTTAGATATTCGTTCAATTTCGAATTTATCTTGTTGCGAATCGTGCGCGCTGCATACTCTTGCTTATCGGAGGTCACCCAGAGCGGTACCACATTGTGGGCATCAACTTGCGTAAGCGGCACATGAACTGGTAGAGCTTTGACCACATCGTCGACCCACTGGCGCGGCAGCCTCAGCGGTGAAAAGTCACAAATTACAGCGCCTATTTTCTGGTCTTTAACAAACTGGGGCAACCGCTCAGCAGCTGGCCCAAGCAATAGGTGGAATGAGATGTTCAGCTCCCGGCATTGCTGCTCCACCTCCTGCAAGCCGCCCAGCAAGAACTTGTAGTGCCTTAAGGTAGCATTCAGAAATTTCGGCACTAAGCAAAATACCACCGTTAAAGGCAGCTCCAGTTTCAATGCCAGCCGCTGGGCGAATAGCAGCGCCCAATTGTCTTGAACGCGCGCATCTCGTGACATCCAGTAGACGACGCCTCCATTGCAATTCTCCTTGACATCGCTAGCCGAACTCAAAACACGAACTCGTTTCTTTCTGAAGGCAAATTCATGTACATTAACAGCAGCTTTGAGACGTTGATCCTGCACGTGACTGAGAAACTGCTCAAAACTGTTGTAGCTTGGCTTTGTCTTTTTTTCTGGCGTAATTGTAACTGTTTCTTCACCGCTTCCGCTCCCGCTCTGGCTTTCATTGCTGCTGCCACTACTTTCGGTCTTTTTCGGTTTCTTTTTGGCAGCGCGCGCTGCATTGCTTTTATTTCGCTTCATGTGTAATCTAAATATAGCATTGATGTAAATAAATACAAATATGTTTTTTTTTATTATTATTAGTACTCACAATTGAAACAGAATACGACAGCCGCCGAGCAATGCAAATTTCGTTCTCACAGATCCTCCAATTTGCATCGCGCATTTTGATTAAATGTTTTTCTTTTCTGTATATAAGTTGGTCACACTTTTCCAGGTAAAACAAATAGCCGTTAGAGGATTTCGACTCCAACCGCACGCATGCAATGACGAAACTTAATAAACTTTTAGAAATAAGTAAACATACTCCCAGTTCCAAGAAAACGGGCATTCCGAAAAATGCATCAAATATGCAATTATAACAAATCTTACTAATTGCATTGCTGAAGTGATTTTGTCCTAGCTATGCGCCGGTCACACTTATCGTTGTTTACCGGTTGGCGAAAAAACAGCAGCTTAACATAGACAAGGAATTCTCTTTAACAGCTCGACAGCTGTTAGTAAATACAATTTGTTTCCTTTTTTTAATTATTTATATATTTACTCAACTGCGTACAGGTTTTTTTTTAAATAACTCTCTTTGATATACAGATATATTCTTTCTCATACATATACATTGTACCGTTTAGCAATTGTTACAGATTAGCCTACGCCGGAAATTGTCTTTGGAAATACGCTTACACCCGATTTGTTACTTCAATTCATTTCTTTTTTGTTTGTTAATAAATGTTTAAACGTCTGTGTGTATATACAGCTAAGAAGTTTGGTAGTGTGGCTAATAATAATAAAATATATATATATATAGAAAATATTTGAATTCACTTTAAAATTTGCAAATATACTTATTTCAAATATACATATATATTTATATATATATATATATTGTATATAAATCTAATGAATTTACACTACAATCAACGGAGAGAGAATTAAAAAAACAAAATTACAAAATAATAAACAAAATTATCACAAACAATAACAGCACAGAAAGTATGAGAATCGCGGCCCACTGTCGCTTATCTGCAAGAGAGAGAGAGAGAGAGAGAAAGTAATGAACTATTAATTAAACAACAACTAAAAGATGGACAAGAGAGTAGTCTGATCAATGGTTGAACTAACAGCGAATTCATTCATATTTAAGAGGGTGGAGTGAAGATTTAATCATTAATATCAAATTATTATGAGTTCAAAGACTTTTCAGAGCTACCCTCAAGGTTCGCTGTAGCAATATTTACCGTTATTCATGTGCAAAACTTTGGCAACTTTTTTCATAGTTGTGTCGAGCTTTGATTCGGTCGTATCGAACTCATTACCAAAATCGTCCAACATGACCGCTTGCTCATCCAATTCGACGCCAATTTGACGGGAAACAGTCTTAAGGGTGCCAATGGAATCACTGATCATATCCAGCTGTTCATCCTGACCCTGGATCATACGCTGCTGTATGGACACCGTCTCGCCGACATATCGATGGCCCGGACTATCCAGATTGCCCCCATAATGACTGGGACTATCTATATCCAGAGCATTCTCCAGTTTCGAGTATTTGGTACCACTGTGCCGAGTGGCAGCCGCCGCCGCTGCCGTTGCCGCCGACATTGTTCCAGCTATAGTATTGGCCACGGATTGCGTATTGGGACAGTCGACCAGATAGGTGCGATCGTTGTGCGAGTGATAATCGTTGCTCTGGCTATGATTGTGATTATGATTGAGGCTGGGATTGCGTTCGTTCTCGAGCAGTGGTTGATGTGCGGTTATATCTCTGTCCCTGCTCCGATTCAGGCTCATCTTATCCTTCATCTGCTTGACCTCATCCCGAGTGTTGTCTATGAAGTGTCGCCGGCTGGAGAGTTCACGATTATCGATGCGAAATTTCGTAGGATTTTTCTCAACAATGCGTACTAAAATAGAGACAGAGAGAGTTAAGGAATTGCAAGAGAGAAGAGAGCGGATGATTCTTTGATTTCTTTTGTTATGGCAAAAGGATATTGATAGTGTCCTCCAGATCCTCGAGGTCCCATTCAATACTGCGCAGCGAATTACGCAGCTCCGTCGTGGTCCATTCAACCTCAGCGCCCCCGTTCTCGCCCAGCTCGCGCCAACGCAGGTAAAGGCCGCGTGTCTTATTCAGCGCTTTGAAAACCTCGCTGCAAATACAAAAACAAGACAGTGGGATGGAGAGAGGGGAAAAGGGAGAAGGGGAGGGAAGCAAGATTCAGAGAGAACGTGAGGGGTAGGGGAACAGGGTTGCATCAGAATTTGTTTGTATGTGTGTTGGCATTGCGAATGTTGTGAAATGCATACTCCTTGACTACAAAAAACGGATCCTCCAGCGACATGACCCACGCGCGTTCCTCTCACGTTTTCCTGTTTGCGTTCGAATGAAATTTTAAAGTTTGCCGTAACGATACACTTGGATTTTATAGTCATGGGATTTTCGTTATTTTCTAGTTGGTGCCCCACACTCACAAAGAGGGTGCAAGCGAGAGAACAGCAACCCCCTTCGTTTTCGTTTTTGTTGGTAAGAAAATCTATGAGAGTTTGCAAATGTTCTCGTTTCGTTATTTCCTTTTTACTACGTAAATGTGAAGATGTTTCAAGTAGCACGAATTACAGTGTATAACAATTTTGATCTAATCTACGATTACTTTAATTGGAAGTTTTTATTTTTCGAACAGCACGTTTATCGATTATTGCACATTGCCGTGTTATCTTCTTGTTGCTGTTGCTGTATCTCTGTATGTGTGTCGGTGTGTTGGTCTGTGTGGGCGAGGGGGCGTGGATACGAGAGACCGCGCTCGCGGCCAGGCTATTGCGATAGCCAGAAGTAAACTGACGTTATAGCAGAGCAAAAGGAGTCTAAAGGTAGAAGGCACACTTGTTTATGCCGCTCCAGCGTCTGCGCACTGCTCGGTTGCCACAATCGAGATAGCAGCAGTTGCTAACACGACACTCTTTGGTTTATTAACTAATGCGTTCTTTAACCATAACAAATGCCAATTAGACGCTTCTTCTTCTTTGCTTGTTTAAATGTACTGGCATTTAACCGTAGGTAACCGAGAACGAACGCTCTCTTTCTTGGCCTCTCTCCCACGGCTCTCTCGGTAGAGTGTGCAACAATTCATCCCAACGTTCTTCTTCTTTCACTGTTCAGCTGAGCTACACTAAACCGTAAGTATAGTTATGCGCTCTCTGATTCTGGCTCTCTCTCTTTCCTTCGACCTAATTTTACTCACTGACTAACTAATGTTATTTGTGTTTGGGCTCATTTCACAACTGTTGTTTTAACCGCAAATTCACTTTGTAGGTCAGAATCTCACTTAAACTTACCTGCTTCACGTTGCCTCCTCATTAAGAAAATTTGTATGCACATGCAGTCTGCGCTTAGACTCAAATTTTTTTTATATTTCGCAAAATATTTTACTACAGCTGTGCCCGAGCGTATTTGTTATGGCCACCTGTGTGGTCCTTTTGCGTAATGTTAACGCAAAAATGAGCAACGCAATCGGGAGCAATGTAATCTATCACACTCTAGTATTTAAAAACTCGACAGTCCCGGTCACACAGTTTGTCCGTTGATCTGTTATTGTAAAGCAGCGTTTAAAAAGCGGAGTGAATCGTTCAATAAGGTAAATTAAATAAGAATTAAAATGCTGCAAAATGATGCAGTGCGCACATTGCAATACGACAGCGAAATACGTGTGGCTCAAACAAGTACGGCCAACGAACCAAGAGGTAATGTTTTGTTTTAGTACAAAATCCTACATCCAATTGGAATGCTAATGATTCATGTTTAATATTTCTTATTAGTAACCGATAATTTCTGCCAGTTGTGTGTTACAATTGGATTATTAGGCCTGCTGTCTGCCTGTATTTGTGTTTGAGCGTGTGTGTGTCAGCAGGTACAAGCTGGCCGTATCTTATCAGCAACTGTTTCTGTTTTGGTTTTATGAACGCCTTATCAACATTTTCTTTGTTTAGCCCTCTCCAATTGACCAAATGATCGATTTATAGAATTTTACTAACCCATTTAAGTCTGTCAATTGAAATTAACGTTTCTCTTTTTGCATTTTGTTCTAATTGCAGTTTTTGATGGACAAATCAGCATAACCTCTCAGCCGCGACCAACAACAGGTGAGTCTTACCTCTCTGTTGCTGAGGATTGTAACAAATCTGTTGTTCTATTTGTCAAACAATATACATATATAGATTTCTATTTATAATCTTTTTATTATATTGCTGTATTTATACTTTTTGATTAAAATTGTGTTCAACTATCTTTTTAGATGCTCCTCGGATACCTTTGCCCATTTCAACAGTTGCTGGCAGTCGCACCTTTATACCCCTGGCTGGCTATGATTGCCTCGCCGATTTGCCGTCTGTGCACATCGAGCAGACTTTTGAGTTGAACGATTGTGAGTGCGATGAGTTTATCGTTGATCTATTGGCTAATCTACTCAAATTCTTTTTAGCTCTCACAGCTGTCTCGTCGGAGAATCGTTATGTAGTTCGCTCGCCCCTGGGTGATGCCATCTTCGCCGCCTCCGAGAGCTCCACGCATAATAATCGTATGATATGGGGCTCCGGACGACCCTTCCAGATGCACTTGCTCGACAAGACACATCAGGAGGCTTTGGTGTTCCGCAAGACGCTCGCACTGGGCGCCATTTGCTGTCAGCCCAAGAACTTGGAGATTTGGATTCCGCCGGGCAACGTGCTGGGCCGTGTCGTGCAGTCGCCCACCTTTACGCAGCCCGAGTTCTACATTGAGGATGGCAATACGCATCAGCCAGTCTTTTGTGTCGAGGGACCCGCGAATTCTGGCTTCTGCTGCTATTGTTTGCCCAAGGAATGCTATTTTAAGGTGGTCTTTGCTGCTATTTGCCAATATTTTCTAATACTTATGTATTTCTTATATAGATTCATTCTGGTGGTGATCTGCGTGCTTCTATAGACCACAAATGGCTGGCCAGCAAATCGCAATATACCACAAATATCTATTTCAGCGATCCAAAGCTAACGGCCAAGGAGCGTGCCTTAATACTGGGCTCAGCATTTATGCTGGTAAGAAATTCTTCGCTCTCTCCCTCACCTCCTCTTTCCATCTCTAATCTGAACAATTTGCATATATTGCAGGAATACATGTACTTTCAAAAGCGTTTTTAATACTCACTTGGCTATTGTTGCGGTCACTGCTCGAGTAACTGAAGTTCTTCAACATATTCTTTCTTTCTTTCCATCTGCCTTTCAGCCTTTCAATATGGCTAATAAAATATGCATAAATATATTATTAAAACCACTTAATTTAATTTACTGCGTTTATTTTACTTACATTTCGTTAATTCTGTTGGAAGAAGTAACTATGTATACACTCTTTCTTTAAAGCTGTTCTTCCAAGCATTTACTCTTTCTCTTCTATTTCCTCCAAGAAAGCCTTCTAATTGTCCCCCAAGTCTTTAATGCCTAGCTGTACTTAGCTGATCACACAATTCACGTCACTTCATTTTACTGCACTGCACTGAACGACTGACTGACCCTCACCGCGCCTGGGCGACTGAAGAAATGCTGCAGCTGCAGCCTTTTATATAGGGCGACTTTCACTCAGAGACTAGAGCGCACTCAAATGTTGAGCCCATTGGGAGCACTCTCTGCTGCTGCGAGCATTCTAGGCATACCAAAGCAATGCTGCTGCATACATAGAGAGCCCTTAAATGATCTTCTGTAGCTCTTATTCGTCCCTTGCATGTCTTAGGCACACGCATTATAATTCTCTTAAGGCTGCTTCGGCTTTTTTAATTTCTGGCTATTCCATCCCATTCAAAGAAATAAACAATAAAAATTAAAATTTTTCACATTGAATTTTTTATTTTCTGTGTCATTTTCTTCTTTGTTTGTAAAGTTTTCATGCTCAGTTTTATGTTTTATGTTTTTTTTTTCTGTTTTTTGATATATTTTACAATAATGTAATAAATCACTTCATTTTTGTTGTTTGTTGAACATACATATACATTTAAATATATATATATTATTTTGTTTTTTTTTTTTTTTTTTTTTTTTTTTTTTTTTTTTTTTTTTTTTTTTTTTTTTTGTACAGTAATTTGCACTATTTCTAAGTTTCTATAAACTTTATCTGTGTGTATTTAACTAGCCTACAAAACTTAATATATATATGACAACATAATTTTTAACTAGAGTTATTCATTTTTGAAACTTTAGTTTTTGTTTTCGCTTTTAACATAATTCGCGTTAATTAATAAAAACAAACAATTCAAAAGAGTCTCGTGGTCTCGTTGCTTTTTCTTTCAATTTAAATTTAACATGTTTTTCTTAATTTCAAATAAAAAACTTGTTTATTTAAATTCCAATAAAGTTTTTTTTTTTTTTTGTTAAGTTGTTTTTGAAATAAATTTTTGCTTTTATTTCAAGTAATAAAATTTTGTTTTTTTATTTTGAAAACAAATTGTATTATTTTTTGAACTAAACAAAATAAAATGGGTTGTTTTTAAATTTTAAAAACATTTTTTGTTCACTTCAAAATCAGGAAGAACTTTGTTTTAGTTTGTATAGTTGGATGTTTTTTTGTTATATATAGGATGGTGGGTGGTTGGGCTAAGCCTTAGAACAAACTAAATAATATACATAGTTTTAAACATATTTACATAAGAATTGTTATAATATTTTTTTATTTTATGGATACGACTCACAGCACTTCAGGAGTTTTGTAACTTTTTTATAGCATTTCGAAAAAGAAATTATAAATTATACATATATTAATCTGTTGTGTATATATATAGATATTAACTAGGACTAACTGTACATATATGTATGTATATACTAATCTATATATATGTTTATATATATGTGTGTTTTTGTAAAGTAAGAGTTGAAACAACTTTTTGTCGTAGCTGAGAGTTGACCATGAACTAAACTAAATACTTAAGTTGCAAACTTCAGTTGCCCTTAGACATTATATATATATATGTGTATATATGGTATATAGTGTATAGTATATCGTACATATGCTTGACTTTTCTATATGTTGACTCACACACACACAGAAAAACACACACACAGCTTCAACTTTGAATACATATATTAAAAAGCTTCAAGCTGCTTTAACTTAACTTCTATTCAAGCCGAAAGCTTTCACAATTTCAAACTGTTTTGAGATTTAGGTGGTAAAAAAGTAAAACGGAAAATTGTTGTTGTCTAAAGCTTAAGAAAGTAGAAAGCTTTTTCTAGTTAAACTAAAACTAAAATGTAAACAAGATTTAGATTAAAACCGAATACAATAAAATTTTCATCAAATTAAAAAACTGAAAGCTTTAAAATATTTGTTTAAAAAATTAAAAATGTTTAGCTAATGTTGCGAGCTAAAGCTTTTTAGATTTCCGCATCAATCGAGCATTGACAGCACCTAAAAGCCTTCCAGATGCTTCATCGAGGTTTTTACTTAAAGATACAATTTTCTTTTTATCAAGACAACACTTTGAGCAACTTTTCAGCATGAAGGCTTTTCTTGTGAGTGTCCTCTGTGTGTGCGTGTGTGTGTGTGTGTGTGTGTTTGTTTAGAGTTTTTGTTGTGTGCCCAAATGCGATATGCTTAGACATTTGATATGCGCTCGTTGATGTTTTGGTCATTGCCGCAGCCACTGTGGCTCGCTGATTGGACTTGAATTGGTATCGGATTGGGATTGGCATTGGGAATGGGGGCGGGAGTGGGCGTGAGAGTGGCGTTGGGCATTAGATGGGGCTTGGGGCCCGGTGGCGCCGGCCAGGCGTAGGGCCACACTCAGGTATGCTGCAGCATATACATATATTGTCAGTTGCTGCCGACAATGGGCAGAGTCAACTCATTCGTGTTGCTTCTCGCGCGCTTCTCGCTCGTCTCCAGCGGATTGTCGCTCTCGTCGCCGTTGCTGCTGCTGAAGCTGCTGGCGGGCAGGCGCCGCTTCAGGCTCAGCCCGTTGGTCAGGCCATTCGTCTCGTCCTCGGACATGGAGCTGGCGCGCTTCGGCGTGTTGCCGGCGCTGTCGTTGTCCAGCGAGGCGATGGCCGAGGCCGCGGCGCTGTTCGCCGCGCTGAAGCCGTCCTCCGAGGCGCTGTCCTGGCTGGCAGCTGGCACGTCGCTGCCGCCGCCACCCACTAGCTGCAGCATGCCCGACGGCGTCGTGTAGCCACTCAGCTTGTTCGGGTCCTTCTCGAGCAGCTTCTGGGCCAGCAGCTTGAGCGAGATCAGAGAGTTCTCGCAGTCGCTCGTATCGATCTCCGTCAGGCTGATGCCCGCCCGCTCGATCTCCGCGTACGTGCCGAAGGGCAGCTTCTGCAGGCACTCCAGCTTCTGGACGTGCGTCTTCGAGCGCAGGTGCTTGGCCAGGTGGCCGTGTATGCGAAAGGCAATCTTGCAGTCCGTGCACTCGAATGGGCGCGGATTCGATGTGGTCGGCACGCCGAAGGTGGACGTCATCATCACCTTGTTGCGGTGCGCCTCGGAGCGCTCGTGCTTCTGCAGATGGCCCTGGGTGCGGAACGAGATGCTGCACGGCTCGCACTTGAACTTGCGCTCCATGTAGTGGATGTTCATGTGCAGCGTCAGCTGATGCTGCCGCTGGAACGTCTTGCTGCAGAGCAGGCACGTGGGGCGTGCATCGCTGGCAATCGGCGGCGGCGGCGCTGGCACCACTCGCCCGGCGTAGCTGCCGCTGCCGCTGCCGCTGGCTGTTGTTGTTGTCGGAGTGGCTGCAGTTGTTGCTGTGGCAGCAACTGTTGCTGCTGCCGGCTCGCTGCTCGACTTGTTGTAGCCCTCCTCAGTGGCCAACACCTTGACTATAGCTGTTGCTGTTGCTGAGGCGGCGGCAACAGTTGCTGTCGCTGTTGTCACAATCGGCTTCGTGTTGTTGCTGTTGCTCAGCACGCCCTTGAAGTCGATGGCGTCTGGCTGCTGCACTGCAGCTGGCAAGTTGGCATTGTGCGTGGCTGCAGCAGGAGCAGGCGCAGGAACAGGAGCTGGAGCTGGGACAGTTGCTGTTGCCTGCTGCTGTCGCTCTTCGGATTGCTTGTCCTGGCTGCTCACAGCAATTGTTTTCACTTGCTGCTGCTGCTGCTGCTCCATTTGCTCCTGCTCCTTCTCAAGCTCTCCCTGCTCCGTTGCCTCTGGCTCATGCACCTCGATGCTGGGCAGCTCGTGATATATCAAGCCAACCTTCTGCTGGATGCTGCTCACAATGGGCATGCTGCTGCTGCTGGTAATCGTGCTGTTGTTGCTGCTGCTGCTGCTGGTGGTGGTGGTCATCAGGTAGCTGCTGCTGTTGTACAAACTCTGCTTTCGCTTGGCGTTGTGCAGCGCCTGCTCCTTGATGTACGTGTGCAGCAGCACATCCTCGCCCTCGCTCTCGCGCTTCGCCTGCTCCTCCATCTCGGCCGAGATGCGCACCTTGTCCGACACCGAGATCAGGGTCTTCATGAAGCCGCACTCGTTGTTGCCCGCGCCGAAGATGACGTCGCGCATCTGCTGTGCCTGCGACTTGGGCAGCTCCATGGCAGCAACTGTTGCCGCTGCAGCTGCTGCTGATGATGTTGCTGCCGTTGCTGCTGCTGCTCCTGCCACTGCTGAGGTGATTGGCCTCGGCTTAGTCAAGTCCATTGGCGCACTGCTCTCATCCGTGGGCACTTGGCGCTTGGGCTTCGACTCCTCGGGATTGGAGTAGTATTGCTCCTGCTTCTGGTAGTCGAACGGCGGCTTGGGCGACGTAAAGGAGCACACCTGCCGCTTGGGCTGTGTGGAAGCACCGCCCGCCGAGCCAATGCTGTTCGCTGGACTCGCTGCGGACATGCTGGTCTCCAGCTGCGCGGGATAGGGCGAGACACTCTGCGGTATGGGCGGCGTCATCGAGAGCGAGAGCAGGCCACGCGCAGCCTCATGCTCCTTCAGGCGGGACTTGGATTCATCTGTGTCTGTAGAGGCGGAAAAAGCAAGTTTTAGTATTAGAAGTATATATAGGCTAGTCCTAATCATTATATATAAATTAAAACGATTCTTTAATCATTAGCCCTTATGAGTGGGTGCCACCTACCACTGCTCTCCGATTCGTTGTCGCTATAATCATCCGAATCTGCAGAGTCGCCGGCCATGGAGGAAGTGCGTCCGCCAGCCGAGGTCGAGGATTGCTGATCGAACTCGACGTCCACGTCGAGGAATTCACCATCCGCTGGCATTGGGCCTGGATTGATGCCCAGTTCAATGCACTTCTTGAAATGCGTTTTCGATTGCATGTGCTTGGTCAGATTGCCCTTGGTCTTGAAGCTGTAAGAGTGAAAAAGAGAGAGAGTTTAAATATTGCTTAAGAGGCAAAGGGACAGAGAGAGAGACTCACCTGAAGCTGCAGTGGCTGCAGGTGAACGGACGCACGTCCGTGTGCGTGCGAATGTGCTTCTTCAGCATGGAGGGCTTCTTGCAGCGAATGCCGCACTCGGAGCAGACGTAGCGGCCACGCCCACGTCCGCGTATGTAGGTGTAGTCCTCGTTCGACTCATAGCCGCCCACTAGCAGCTGGCCGGGCTCCAGCTTCTTGGCTGCCTCCTCGCTCGCCTTGGCCGCCACATTCGCCTCGCTGAGCGCCCCGATGGCTGGCGCCTGCTTCGCCTGGTGCTGGTAGAACTTGCTCTGGGCGTTGTTCACGGTGGAGCAGCTGCTGATCGTCTGCTGGGAGCCGACGAGCGCGTAGCTGTGCGCATTGCCGCCCGCCTGGACCACAGTGAAGCCCGCGCCGAACATCTTCTGCCTGGAGTCGTAGAGCGACATCACCTGCTTCGGCTTGAGGCCCAGTGGATGCGGCTGGTTCTCCTCGCACACCTGCCAGACGCTGTACATCGACAGCTTGTGCATGCCGGCCACGTACGAGGGCTGCGGGCAGTTCACTGTGCAGTAGAACATCTTGGTGCTGCACTTGAGGCCCAGGTAGGTGTAGGCGTGGCCGTTCAGGTAGAGCTGCACGCAGGACTTGGACGGGCGCGGCGTCTCGGGCGAGATCAGCGGCAGGGTATTTGCAGTCGGGGTGATCCCGTGATGGCGCTTGGGCGTGAACGTGCCCGGCTTCAGCGGGAGACTCGTGGGACGCAGGAATTTCGTCTTACTGGCAACAGTTGTTGCTGCTCCAGCTGATGTTGTTGCTGCCACAGCTGATGTTGCTGCTGCGGCTTCGTTTTCCGGTGTTTCCACGTGCAGCGGATCGAATATAAAGTGTCGCACCTCCTGCTGCGGCTGCTGCTCCTTCACATTGTCAGCCATGCGCAGGAAATTGAACTTTTGCACACTGAGACCGTCGCCAGCAGCAGCAACAGTTGCTGCCAGCTTGCTGCCGCTGTTGCTGCTGTTGCTCTGCCACTGCAGCGCATTGCGCTGCGCGGGCGTCGGCGGCTGTCGGCTGAACTCGCTGGGCAGATTCTGGACGCCCCCGAAGGGCGACAGCGACTTCTTGAAGGGCGGCGCATCGATGGCAGGCGGACGCTGCAGCAGCAACTGTTGCGGCGGTGCTGGCAGCAATGTGAGGCTGCTCGGGCCCGGAATGCCCGGCACGTAGGGAATCGCTTTGCCGCTCGACTCGCTCATCGCGGGCAGCGTGAGCGGATTGAAGGCGGTTATCGAGTTGATGGGCGGGAACTGGAAATGCTGTGAGTTGTTGTTGCTGCTGCTGTTGCTGCTGCTGATGTTGTTGTTGTTGTTGTTGCTGGCATTGAGCAGAAATGCGGGCTTCGGCTTGGGCTCACTCAACCGGGGCGACATTTCCTGAAAGCTGCCGCCCGACAGCAGCGGAGTGCGGATCATCTTGGGGCTCTTGTCCAGCTCGGGGCACTCGGAGATGGGGATCATCGAGCCGCCCGACGAGGTGAAGCGTCTCAAACGCTCCTCCTTGCCCGTGTTGAATCCAGTCAGCTCCTGGCTGTTGCCGAACATCAACTGTTGCTGTTGCACGCCCGTTGCTGTTGCTGTTGCTGTTGCCGGCGGCAGGGCAAAGGCGCTGTCGTTGCTCAGCTTCGGCCGCTTCGCCGAGCTCTCGCTGATGATGTTCTCGAGCCGATCCTCGTGCATTTTGGTGATCACGACTTGGGCGTCGGCGGCCTTGCGGGGCGCGGCGTAGTCAACGAGCGGGGTTTTGCCCAGGAGCGGGCCGGGCGAGGGCAAGGGAGCGTCCACGAAGCGCAGAGCAACATTGTTGGCGTCGATGCTAACGGCAACAGTTGCTGGCAGATTGTGGGTGTTGCTGTTGCCAGCCATCGTCACTGTCAGATTATTGATGTTGTTGCTGTACAGGTTGCTGTTGCTGCTAGCGACTGTTGCTGTGGGATTGCTGCTGCTAGCACTGCTGCCTGCAACAGTTGCTGTTGGATAATTGCTGCTGCCGCCGCCGCTGCTGCCAGCAACCGTTGTCCTGCTGGTCCGCGCCGGCGACTGCGCCGCACTCAGCCGACTCAGCACCAGGCTGCTCGGCTTCGTCTTGAGCTGCGACCAGGCCAGCTTGGCCAAGGACAGCGGATTCTTCGAGTTGGCCATGTGCGACTTGAGCTCCGGCAGACTGAAGGAGATCGAGTTGGAGCGAAAGTACTTGCTGCTGGGCGAGGAGGCGGGGCTGATGGGCGCACTGCTGCTGGCGTCCTGGCAGTAGGTGCTGTTGTGCTGCTTCAGCTCGTCGGCGCTGCGGAACTCGTTGGCGCAGATGGGGCAGGAGTAGACGGCGTCGTCGCCCTCGCCAATGGGCACGGCTAGTCCGCGCGCGTTAAGCAACAAATTCTTGATAATCGAATTGTTCGCAGCGGCAGTCGCAACTGCTGCTGGCTTAGCAGCAACTGTTGGCGTTGCTGCTGTTGCTGGTGCGGCTGCTGCTGTTGCTACTGCTGTTGGTGCTGCTGCTGCTGCTACTGTTGCTGGTGATGCTACTGTTGTCGCTGCCTTTGCTGGCTTTGGTTTGGCGGACAGATTCAAAGGCTGCTGTGCGGGCGTCGCTTGTTGCTGCTGCTGCTGCTCGAGCTTGTTTAAAGGCATTGCTGGATCCTGGCGATAATGCAGCAATTGCAGCATTGTTGCTGGCGGCGGCGGTGGCAATTTGACATTTAAGGCAGCAGGAGGAGGCGTCGCTTTTAGGTTAGCATAAGCATTGTTGCTGTTGCCACTGCTGCTGCTGCTGTTGTTGTTGCGTTTGAGCAGTCCATTTACTGGCTCAATGACTCGATATTGTTGAATGAGTTGCTGTTGTTGTTGTTGTTGTTGTTGTAGTTGTTGCTGCTGCAATTGCACCTGTTGTTGCTGTTGCTGCTGTTGCTTTTGTACTATGCTCTGTGCTAGATTTACTTTTGCATCGCCCAACTGCTGGCTGCTGCTGTTGTTGTTGCTGCTGCTGTTGTTACTGCTACTGTTGTTGCTGCTACTGTTGTTGTTGGCATTGTTGAAGCTGCGCGAACGATTCAGTTGCTTGGGATATTTCTTCTGCAGCAATATTTCCTTATTCTCCACAATGGCTTCGTTCTGTGAGATCAATTTCGAAATGTGTTCCTGCACCTTTTCCACATTCTAAGAAAGATAGTGAGAGGGAGAGGGTGGTTTAGTAAGTTGCAGAATTTGGGTATAGACTCTAGTATACGCACCACTTGCATGCCACTGGCAAAGCTGCTCAAATTGCCTACAGGTGTGGGCGTGGCAGGTGCTGCTGCTGTTGCTGTCGCCTGTTGACTATTAGAGCGAGGCAGCTGCTAGGAGAGAGAGAGAGAGTAGATATTTAGTTACAACTCAAGAGAGAGAAAGAATATGCAAATTCTCTACCTGCTGCTGCTGCTGTGGCTGAGGCAGCAACTGTTGCTGCGGCTGCTGCTGTTGTTGCTGTGGCAGCAACTGTTGCTGTTGCGGCTGTGCTGGCGCCTTGAGCAGTGGCGAGTGTTGCTGTTGCTGCTGCTGTAGATGTTGCTGCTGCTGCTGTTGCAACTGATAATGTTGCTGATACTGCAACTGCTGCAGCGCCAACGCATGCTGATGCATTGCGGCCGTGGGGTTGTAATATGGCGCCTGCCCCAAGTAGTAAGTGGGCAGTGGAGGTGGCGGCAGAGCGACAGCATTGCCCGCAGCAGCAGCTGCTGCCAGCAGCAATGACTGCTGCTGCAACTGTTGCTGCTGCTGCTGGAGCTGCTGATGCTGTTGCAGCTGCAGCTGCTGCTGATGCGAGTTGATGTGAAGATTCAGCTTCAGCTGCGTGCTGGGCGAGAGCGTGGGATGCACGAGCAGAGGTTGCGGCAGCTTCTGTTGCTGTTGCTGTGGCAGCAATTGTTGTGGCTGTTGTTGCTGCTGTTGCTGTTGCTGTTGTTGCTGCTGTTGTTGCTGCTGCTGTTGCTCCTTGCTGCTGCCTGGCGCATAGAGCGCTGCATTGTGAAATTTTGGCTTGTATGGCTTGTAGTCTATCGACTGTCGATGCTGCGCTGTCGCCGAGTGCAAATTCTCGACTGTTGCCGGCGGCAAGGTGCCAGCAGCTGGCGAGCCCAGCGGCAACTGTTGCATGTGCTGCGGCAGTGGGGGCTGTTGCAGGTACGCGCTCTTCGCCGCCGACAGCGTAGAGGGCGAGGGCGTCGGCGAGGCCATCGACTGCTCATCATATGGCGAATCGGCGCTACTTAGCTGCAAAGAGAAGAGGTTGCTTGGTGAATACAATTTGGTAGAATTTTGGGATATATTTTACACAAATCTTTTGATCTATCAAATTCTGTATTTCATCTAGTTTTCAAAAACTTAGCTAACTACTCTGTCAAATTTACATGCCTCACTCTGCTCTGCTCCCCTTCAATCAATCAATCAGCTCACTTTTCTTACACTTTTAATCAATCAACTGCCTTACAGTCTCAACAAACTTCTGTTAACGGCAAATTCATGACTTGAAACTGTTTCATAACTTTACTATCAATCACTAACTTCTCTATCAATCAAGCAATCAACTTCCACTCAGCATAGTCAATCAATCAAGCAATGCTCTTACGACTCCTGCTAGAACTACAGCAAATCTCAACATACTGTTATTAACATTTGTAAATATCCTTGATTAATTCCTCTAACAGTTCCTACACTTCTCTGAACATGCTCTTGACATTTCTAACTTCTGTTTAACTAACTGTTTATCTTAACATACTGTGAACTTGTCAATGGATTCTTACAATTTCCACACTCAACAGCTCCGAGCTGCTGTTGCTGAGATCTCCGTCGCCATCCTGGTCGGACAGTCCATCCGCCTCGTGGGCCGGCACGTCCAGGCCGCGCATGCGCGCCGCGTGCGAGCGGGAGCGGCAATGCTTGTAGAAGTTGCTTTTCGTCTTGAAGGCGATGCCGCATGTCTCGCAGGGGTAGGGCCGTTCGTTCGTGTGGGCACGGATGTGCTTCTGCAGGACCGAGGGCTTGGCACAAATCAGATTGCAATAGGGGCAGATGTAGCGACTAAGGCCAGTTGCTGCTGCTGCTGCTGGCGTGACTGTTGCTGCTGTTGGTGCTGTGGCAGATGCGGCAGATGTTGCTGCTGGCATGGCAGAGGTTGCAGTTGTTGCTGGCATGGCTGCGGATGTTGCAGCTGCAAATGTTGCTGCTGGCTTGGCTGTTGCTGCTGGTGGGACTGTTGCTGCTGTTGTCGTTGGCTGCGTCTGCTGCTGATGCTGTGCAAATGTTGCTGGCGACAATGTTGCATTGCTGGCATAGTTGCTGCTGCTGCTGCTGCTGCTGCTAATGTTGATGTTGATGTTGCTGCTGTTGCTCAAAGGCGTACGCGTGCGTGGCACGCCAGCAACAGCAACAGCAGCATTTTTGCTATAGCTCTCGGTCTCATGGCTGTTGCTGTTGCAGTTGCTGCCACTGTTGCTGTTGCTGTGCTCGTGCCCATTGACCAGCGGCAATTGCGTTGGCGGCGACACTGAGCTGTTCGACGACAGCGACGTGGTGCGCAGTGTTGGCTCGTCTGGTGCCTCCGTTTCTGTGGTGCTGGCCAAACGTTTGAACTTCTTGTGCAAATAGCGCAAATTGTTCGAGCTGCTTTTCCAGTCAGCAATTGCTGTTGCTGTTGCTGCGGCGGCATCATTGTTGCTTGTGTTGCTGTTGCTGCCACTGCTGCTGATACTAATGTTGTTGTTGTTGTTGTTTGTGGTGGTGGTGGTGTTGGTGCTGCTGGTGTTGCTGCTGTGCTGTAGCGTCATTTTGCTATCACTTACGTTCGCTTTATCTCTAGCCTTAAACTCATAATTATTTTCACTAATACTATTATCACTGTTGTTGTTGTTGTTGTTGTTACTTGTGTTGCTGCTGCTGCTGTTGCTGTCAGCAATTTTAGCTGGCAATTCGCTTAAATTATCTCGTTTGCTTTTGTTGTTGTCAATTGCTGTTGCTTCGGTTGCTTCAGTTGCTTCGTTTGCTTCACTTGTTGCTGTTGTTGCCTTGACTTTGCTGTTTGTTTTCAGTGTTGTTGTTGCTGTTGTTGCAGCAGTTGAATTGCTGCTGCGATATGTTTGCTTCTTAGTTGTTGCCGTTCCTGCTGATGTTGTTGTGGTTGTTGTTGCCTGTGCTGCGGCGGCGGCTGCTGCTGCTGCTGCTGCTGTTGCACGTCGCGTGTTGCTCACTTTGTTGTTGTTGCTATTATTAATGCTGTTGCTGTTGTTGTTGTTAGTTTTGTATTGTTTGTTTGCTGTTTTGTAATGTTGTTTCGCTGTGTTTGTTGCTGTTGCCGTTGTTGTTGCTGCACTTTCCATAGTCTCATCGAATTTGCTCGCCTGCGATGTGTTTGCTGCCGTTGGCTCATCTGCAAACAAAGAATTATTTAAATATGAATTAGCATTAAGAATCAATTGATTGATTGATTGACTGATTGAAGAGCAAAACAAAAGCATATTTATTAGTTAATAAACTGAATGATTATAGAACAAACTTCGAATCGATATTGATTTAAAATACTTCAAGTGCGCCCTGCACCAGGTAATGCTCCTTCTAGCACCTGCTGCCCTCATCTAAATATTTAATAGGGCTCTTCGAGGGTTAAAAATTAAAAATTTAAAAATGTGTGAATTTAAAATCTTTTCACCATATTTTGAAATTCCCTTCGGGTGGGCGTCACAGGCAGAGGCACCCCCAGGTGGGCTGGGACTGGGGGTGAGAGCCCGCCTAATGCAAAAAAAGCTAATTGAGCGCTCAATCTTATCAAAGGCAGAGCTAGAGCTGATAAAGCGGATGGGCCAAAGCTTTAAGTTGTCAAAAACGAGAAATTATAAATATATAAAAAAAAAGCTTTAATATAAACAAGTGTTAAATATATAAATGATTTTTGTTTTTTATTAACTTTCTATTTCGCATTTCAACCGCTTAAAGTTCACCTGTTGCCGCAGCAGAAAACGAAATCAAAATCAAAACAACAAAAGCTGCATGGGCGTGAGTGAGAGGGAGAGAGATAGATAGATAGAGCACGCAGTGAAGTGCGCTGATTGTTGTTGTCGGCTGTCTTATCAGCTCTATAAATACCCTAAGCACACGCACACGCACACGCACGCATACATACACATGCACACTCAAGTACATGTAAGCTTTATGTATGCTAGTGTAACAAGAGAGACCAAGGCAGAGGAGCGGCAGAGAGAGCGCGTGGCACTCACACACACACACGTATATATTCCCTCTTAATACGTCTTTCCATGTGTCTTTATCAACAAGCCAAAAATTCCATTGATAACGTTTAGGCTGTTGTTTATCAGCTAAACATTTGTGAATATCATTTTCAATATTCTTATTAGTTGGTCGATTCACCTGACTCACACAATCAGACAAATTGTCCGATAAACGGCATAACCTCCCCCTTCCACTTGCCTCTCGTATATGTATATGTATATGTATGTATGTATGTATATTCGTAGACCCATCGACGACACCTTTGACGTCAGCCGCGGCTGTCGTTGGCAATTAAACGGCATTACGGAAGAGATTAGTGGGCAAACGTTAAGAAAATACTCACATAGCTCACGCTATGACGCCGATTAGTTATCGTATTAAATAGTAGTAATTACCTAACCTCACATTGTGAATGTGTGTGCGTTGATTGCATGGAGGAGTGCCACATAGGAATTTCCCATCAACAGAATTTCTGCAGAGACAGTCTTCCAATTGGAATTGCCCGCAAGGGTAATTTTTGCATGCGTTGCACACATACATACAAATGATATGATCAGATTAGAGGCGCCGAAAGGATTTCCCATTAAGGGAATCTGTCTCTCTCACTCACGATAAGCACGCACGTACATATGGAAAGGGAATTATAATTCATATACAGACACACACACACACATTCACATTACAGTTATGTAACATTCATTATTATTGATCAATAGCTTAGCTAAATTGCTTTTCATACAACCCTCACTTAATAGTAGGGCTTTCCTTTTGTTTAAACATAGCGATAAGTGTAATCAACAACAACAGCTAATAAGACAGCTCCGCACACCAGTTTTTCTATATTTACTTTAAAAGAAGAGAGCAAGAGGAAGAGGGAGAGAGAGCAGAAAAGAAACAAATATTTAAATGACTTTATTATCACGACTTTGACTTTGTTTAACGATTCCGTTGTTGGCTTTTATTATTAGGCGTTTAGCTCTAAAGCTAAGGTTGCTCAAATAAACACGCATACACACAATCACATGTGAATACATATGTATGCACATATTAATATAGTATACATGCATTTGCATTTACATTTGCTCAGCGTGCAAAGTGCAATTCGCAAGTAAATAGCGGTTTATCAAGTGCCTGGTCACACTCTCAGTGATAGCCGCCGAGCGACGTCACATGAGAGCCATTTAATGTAAACACTCGCTGATTGACGACCTCTCACTCACTCACTTACGCGTGCCCCACTCACACACACCCACACACACACCCACATTCATGCACGTATTCGAATGAAATAAGCGAAAAAGAACGCGCTATACGCGGCGCCTCAGTCTGTCTGTCTGACTGTCAATAAAATTAGTTGTACGTCATTTGCAGAATTAAAAAACAAAAGTGTAAAAAAGAGAGAGCCAAGCTTGGCCACTTAACAATTGTTAATAATTTATTAGCAACCCAAATGTGTGTACTCACAAAGTATAAAACACGTAAAATTCACGGAAACGATACGGAATTCCAATGAAGACGAAGCTTCTGATAAAAAACGGTAGAGAAAAGGAAATGACAACTAACACAACACAAATGAAACGATGAGCACACAAACACTAGCACATAAACACACACACATATGCACACGCGCATTAGCTCATTTAATTTGCATTAAATATGAATAGTGCAATACGCAATAGCTCGTACCTGTGACTCAGTCGCGCGCTCTCTTTATTTTACGCGCTCTGATTAGCAATATCGATAGGCAAGGCTATCGATAGGTTTCATCAATATTTCAGTTGGCTGCCAAAGACTTGAGAATCGAGACCGAAATTATAACAACAAGCAAATTGCGTGCATCGAGTCAAGGCGCTCGCGACAACGAAACGGCGACCAGCGAGCATGAAACAGTTAAAGACAATTAGACGAGGCAAGCTGAAAAATTCATTCAAAGACCAGAGCCCAAGCAGCAACAGCAACAGCAGCAGCTACAGCTACAAAAACAGCAACAGAAACGGCAACAACAAAAACCAGACAAATCACTGTGAGTGCGCGAGAGTGTGCAAAAGAAAACGAAGAAGCGTCGCGACGCAACGCAAAGCGACGCGACTAACTGGCAAAAGAGTAGCGCGAAAACAAAAGCACAAACATCCACACGCATACACACCCATAGACACATTCGCACATACTCACTTAAAAGCCCAAAGACAGGCAACGGCAGAGTGAAGAAATGAGTAAAAACCGTACAATAATCAAAAAATTGAGCACGCCAGGAAAAGGCATACAGGCAAAAGCAGAAAGGGGCAAGGGAGAGCGAGAAGCAACGATAGCGAAACGTCAACGTCGCCGCATACCGCAATATTCGCCAATTCGCCGTCCCGCACACTGTTGCAATTGTCAATCAAAAGTAAGCACAGGGTCGCCTACTGCTGCCTCTGTCTCTGCCGCTGCCGCTGCCGCTGCAGCTGCCGCTGCTGCTGCTGGTGCTGAGAAATGATCAAATCAAGCAAAAACGTAGCTCCCCAACAACAACAACACACCAGCAGCAACAACAACAGGTGACGCGAAGTGGGGGAACACAATACGACGTCTGTCGCCAGCCTGTACCCGCGCTATTGTTGATTACGTGCACACAAACACATACACAACACAAACATGCATAAACACGCGCACCCATACATGCACAGGCCCCCAGCAATAAATGTGTATATATGCGAATTTTTGCTGACTAAGGAAGGTCTGGGGAGCACCAGCAGCAGCAACGGCAACGATAACAACAAAACCATTTAAAACGTAGAAGCACAGCACAAAACGTAGCAGTGAAAAAAGTGATAATAAAATAATAATAATTGCTACACACACACGCACGCATGCATTCATGCATACATATGTATGTCCGTGCGCAGCGATCAACTGAGAGCGAGAGCGCCAAACAGCTAGAGTTGCCGCAGCTGTCCACACACGAAGACCGAGGCTCTTCTCTTCGTACTCCCAGTCAAACAGCCAGCCAGCTAGCCAGCCATTACACACGAGTGAAGCACGAGCAGCCATGTGGCGACGAGCATGAATATATATATATATTTATATGTATGTGTGTGAGTATTTAGCCTGTTTTCAATACTAGCCCCCACTCATGCCTCTATTGTATGTGTGTGTGTATGTGTATACAATATGCATGTACACACAAGCTACATGACTAATCCAAACAACTTGACAACACTGTCGCCGCCGCCACCGCCGTCGCAGTCGTTGGCGTCGCTGACGCTGCCTGCGCTTTGCTTTTGTGTATTATATTGAGTCAATTCACAAGAAACGAGGAAACCCGCCATCGCCGTCGTCGTCGTCGTCGTCGTCGACGACGTTGTTATTGTTGTTATTGCTTGAATTTTGTTTATATTTATGAGAGAGTGAGTGTACGTGTGGGCATATGTGTGCTTGGTCTTATGCCTGTGTGGGTATATGTGTGCATGTGTAGTAGCTCTGTGTGTCAGTCAGGCCGTGTATGAGCGAGCATGAATCAAGCTGAAAAATTTTAATAATTTTGCTCGTGTTGTTGTTGTAGTTCGACTGCAAACGAGTTTAGCTTGTTGCTCGCGTGTATGTGTGACTGTCCATGTGTGTGTGCGAGTGAGTTCACTGCTGGGCTTGGGTCTGGCCTGTGCTTTGGGCAGTGCTACTTGTATTTTTTTATTCAGCGACACACGATAATATGACGACACCAATACAAATGCAATTGGGCACTTGGAGCTTTCTAGAGCGCTTGATAAGCACTTTTTGCTCAGGCTCTGCTGCTGCTCTCTTTTCCTCCCTCTCTCTTTCTCTGTCGTTCTCTCTGTGTGCTCTATGACGTACTCGTTGCTGTTGCTGTTGTTGTTGGGCACTCGGCAACACTTGAGCGTTTGTCGGAAATCAAATTAATGCGATTAAGCAGCGCTAACGATCGTCGCTCTTCTTCTTAATCTTTTCTTCTTTTTGCATTTAGTCCACAAATGGGTAAAGGAACGTTGTGCGTGTGTCTGTATATACAGAGTCTGTATTAACAGAGTTGTCACTTTGGCTTCCGTTACTTTAGGATATGGCTTTTTGAACTTTATCTGTAGCTTTTAGCTTTATTTCTGCCAACACTGGCGCAAGCCTCGAAATTTAGAACCAAATCAGTTTTAA